GTGGGAAGCTCCATCCACCCCACCATTGCAGCATTCACAAGCCGCACCTGGTATCTCAAGGTATGTAAAAAAACATTAAAAGCTGTACCTATGGCTGAATCACTGATTCTCTAGATCAGCATCAAATCTTTAGATTCGGATTTGGCTGAATCGAATTGGGACAGTGATCCGAAGCAACGAATTGAATCACTGTCCCCGATTCAGGCTGAATCCAAATCAAATACAGCCCGTTTCACACACCCCTAATACATACATACATACATACATGCACACACACAAATATATAGGCTAAGTAACCTAGAGCATTTCTGTTTCAGTAGAATGAGCTGAAGTCAATTTGGTGGATTTTATAGGCTTCTCTGTTTTCTGTGGCAGAAGTAGTCAAATTTTAAGTTATTCAACAGTCATAGTTGACAAACATCCGTGTGTGTGTGTGTGTGTGTGTGTGTGTGTGTGTAAAACATGTGTAACAGGTATGTATGTGTGTGCATATATATTGATATAGATATATATACCACATGGATGTTTGTCAGCTATGATTGTTGAGTTACATAACATTAGATTTTTCCTAAAAAGAAAACACAGAAATGAATCTGTTAACTCAAATTATATATTCTATAAAATGTTATGTGTATATGTGTGTGCATGCACACACACAATTTAATGGAATATATAATGGAATATAGTGAAAAAATTAATGGATGCCTTTATTTCCAGTCTACATTATTCCTACAGTGTGTTATCAATTTGCTATGGTCTGTTCCATAGCTTAGACCCACATTGCACCATGTCAGGTATTCTGCCAATTTTCTTTTCACATTTTGAGAACAGACCAGTCATTGCGAATATGAATAAGATTAATCATTAACATGTACTAATTAATTTTTATCATAGATTGAAGTGTATAACCTCAATTCCGGAATAAGAGGAGGAAACTGGTTGTCATTTGAAATAAGGAAGTGCAACTGCTCTAAGGGTCTCTCCGCTAAAATGGTTTATGCTTAGAATCATTGGGAGCCTATACATGTACTTGAGACTGGGGGCTGGGGGAGGGGCATTTTAATTACAGTGGTTCCTGAGAGCCTAATTAAAATGCCTCAATATCATATTATTAAGCCTGCACATGTAAAATAAGGCTGCAGGACACTTTAACTAAAGCTCACCAACTGAGCCTGCAGGGGCTCATACACATGGCAATGTGGCAATGCTAAAGCATTCTAATTAGAACACAGAGCAGACTCAACTAATCCAATTAGAATGTGTCTGAGCATGAATATAGGTACCCATTATGGACGTCAGTGCTAAAATGGATCCAAAAAACATACAGAGGATTTGTTGGAATACGTGATCAGGAATCCCAAGGTCAGCACACACACCTATCTATGAATAGGGTGACTGCTGTCTCCAGAAATTTAGAAATGCGGATGTTACTGATGTTGTTAAAGATTTCATCTGTCCTGATTTATGAAAGAAGCTGAGATTTTCAGGAAAAATGACAAAATCTGTGGGCACCCATACCACAGGTGGTAAGGCTCTTCTGACATGCTGTAACTACATTGCATCGAAGCAGATTTGGTTGAGTCTGCCCTAGCATGACAATTATCATGCTTCAGCAGACTACAGTGTCACATGTACCAGTGTCCTCTACTGCTCCAGGAGTGGTGCAGGGCAGGGGCATTCAATGAGCTCTAGGTAAAGCACCCCTGCTGCCATTTTTCAGCATGGGGACACTAATATACATAACACTCCAGGTGCTTTAATTAGAGTAGCTTTTAGAGCTGCTCTAATTAAAGCATCTCCCCACCCACCAATCCCAGAGCACATGTATAAATGACCTGTATTCCCATTGAATTGTAGAAAATTTGTCAAGGAACTATAAAGGAGAAATCATTGGTAGGAACCATTGAGAGCACTGTGGATAAACATTACAAACATACCATCATTGAAATCTGAATTATGATAAGGGAAACAAAGTCAAAACTTCATTGACCCACACATTTCTGAAAGACATCTGTACATGTATGCATATGTTGGGAGAGAAGTATGGAACGTGGAAAGTTAATGCTTAAGCTGGAAGGATCTGGGATGAGGTAACACTGAACAGCTGTGTAACCCGGGCGGTACTCCAAGATATAACCCCTCTCCAATTGAAGGGATCAGAGCAGGTGCATGAGCACTGTGGGAGATGTAAGGACCCTCCTTCCCTATCAAGCAATGGGGGACTTACTAAAAAGGTACATGTTTGAGAGAAACTGTGGTGGGAACATAACATATATAAACCAGGGGGCACAGGGGACACTACAATACGCCGTGGGGATGGGGTTCAGCAAAGGTTAGGCATTCACATTTGTAGCCATATTCATTACAGGTTTAACAAAATATAAAAATGCAAACAACACAACAAACAATACTGATTGACAAAATATAAAATGCACAAAATACAAAACACCAAATAACAAAAGATATAGGGCATAGGTACCCGGAGGGGGAAAACATAGTGACCTCCTCCACCCCAATAAGAATTACTCCCCTGTCAATTCACTCACCCCAACCAAGACTTGAACTCAGGCCTCCCACATGGTAGGGAACAACTCTACCATACAGCCACCACTGCTGGCCCTAGTCCTGGGTGCTGGGGCTTTTGACCTTCTGGAAGCCCCTGCCTCACATTAAGCTACCCTACATCTTGCTGGAGAAACTGGAAGCAGAGCTGGGAACCTCTTGGGTCACTGCATAGCTTTCTGCTGGAGCTAGGGGGGGAACCTCTCCTGCTGGCTGCAGCCTCTTGCTGGGGATCCTGGAGCCCAGCAGGGAACCTCTCCTGCTGGCCATGCTGTGCTGCCTGCGGGTCCTGCTCTTTTAGGCTCTTCTGGGGCAACTGCTTCCACCTTGATGGCCCAGCTCTTGCAACTCTTTGAAACTCCTTCCTCATTGTCCCTCACAGGTCTCCTCTGAGTCCGCTGTGCTGCCCCTTTTATCCCCCTCCGGGTGACCCGAGGGGCCAACCAGGGGCCGTGGAAGGTGAGGCTCTGGGGCCTGATTGGTGAGGAAAGGGAATCCCAAGCCCTCCAATCATCTTTTACCCTTTCAAAACCCCTGAGCCAAATCACTACCAGCAAACCCATCACAAATGCATCCTCCTCCAAGGGTCCTTTGTACAGGTGGTGGGCACTAGCAAGATACAGTTAAAGGAAAGGAGCTTAGGGAGGAGAAGAATCCCTCCCCACCATGGCTGATTCAGTGAGAACTTCCCTTACTGTTTCAGTCAATTTTAACTGGAAATAACAAAACAACAACATAGATGTAAATAACCCCTGGGTCAAAATGTGAATGGAGCTTTTATCCGAAGAACTAGTCTGAACTGAGAATCCATCTCCAAATCAGGTCTCCCTAATTAATACCAATGACTCCTATGCAGGTGTTTTGTTTTATGAAGTGATAGCTCAATTAATTAAATACTTCCCAGGGAGTCTGTAAATCTTTAGGTAGCTTTAAGACGTGATCTATGTATTTCAGGGTCAGCATGAGAATTTTGCTGTGCATGAAAAGGTTAGTTATGAAAAGCAGTACCTGGGAACTAATTTTGAATTAACCTGATATTTTTAATAATTACATGATTGTCTAAAGTAATGATCCTGCAAATGCTTATTCATGTGCTTAACTTTAAGCCTGTGAGTCATCTCACAGGAGATTGCACTCTGTCTGCAGTAATACTTAATTTGTAGAAGAATTATCCTATCAAAAGATTGCAGAACATAGAGGCATAAGTTGCTTAGACTCCCATGAAAGTCCCAGCTTTGCTATACATTTGGACTGAAAGACCCAATCTAGTTGTTTAATATAGTCAGACAATGCACAGAAAAAATAGCTTTTTTACTGTTGCTACTTAGAGGACGGTTCTACCACTAGGCAGATGGTGGTTGAAAAACAGCACAGTGTCCACAAGAGGGTGAGCTTATTGGCATGTCCTAAGCCCCACACCTAAGCTCTACTACAAAACGGGCACATCTACACAAGATGCTGACTGTGCAGTAGCTGAATAATACTGCACAGTAGTGCATCACAGCACCAACAGTGCTATATTCTCCTGTACAGTATTATTAGGCTACTGCTTGTCAGGGCAGAGCTTAGTGGTTGAGTGCCTCGGCACAGTGGAACTTTCTAGCACAAGGCACGGTGAGATTTTGTACGAGGGAATTTCTCGGCACGGTGGAGAACCTTGGCATGGAAAGGTTCCCGCCACTCATATGCAAATTCACACATTACTATTGGCCGGTTCTAAATTATTCCTACGTGGCGACTAGCAATTGGCTCGCTAGCCGTATAAAAGGTTGGAGCAGTTTCCGCCCAAGTTGGAGAACTCTGTGCCCATCTCAGAGTGAACGTGGCAGACTGATCAACCGCTGACGACTCCCCATCGCCGACCAACCCCGATGTACCCCCCCCCCCCCCCGCCTGCTC